GAAATATGATGTATTAAGAACTATGTAATGTTTTGAATGACCAACAATAAAAAAATAAATAAATAAATAAATAAATAAAAAAGAAATGATTGGATGGACATCATTACCCTAGGTACATGTATAATTGCATGAATGGTGTGACCCTACTTCATGAACAACCAGAGAAGTGAAAAATTCTGCTCCATTTGTGTACAATGAATCGAAGAGTTTTCTACTGCCACATATAACTGATTTGAACTAATAAATAAATTTTAAAAAAATTCCCTGACAAGAGAATAAAAAGGCAGGAAACTAGGAGAAAGAGGGCTTAGGTTATGGTTCACTGGTAGAGTGCTTGCCTAGCACATGTGAAGCTCTGGGTTTGATCCTCTGCACCACATAAAAAGATAAATAAATAAAATAAAAGGTATTGTGTCTATCTACAACTATTAAAAAAATTTTAAAAAACCAAAATATTTGCAAACCACATATATGACAAACACTAGCATCTCGATTATACAAAGAATTCTCAAAACTTAACAGTAAAAAAAAAAAATCCAATTGGAGAAATGGCTTAAGAATGAAAAGACAATTCACTAAAGAAGATATACAGAGAGAAAATAAGCACATGAAAAGATGTTCAACATCATTAGCCATTAGAAAAATACAAATTAAAATCACTGTAAAATATCATTATGTTCCTATGAGAATAACTAAAATAAAAAACAGTGACAACACCAAATGCTGACAAAGATGTAGAAAAACTATATCTTATATTTTGCTGGCAGAAATGTAAAATGATATAGCAATTTTGGAAAAGAGTTTGATAGTTTCTTGGAAAAAGTAAACCTGCAACCACCATATGGACCAGCAATTGTAATCCTAGGCATTTATTTTTATTAATTTAATTTTATTTTTTTGCAGTGCTGGGGATTGAATTCAGGGCCTCATGCATGCAAGGCAAGTGCTTTACCACTGAGCTACATCCCCACCCCCTAGGCATTTACTTTGAAGAAATGAAGATTTGTGTTCATAAGAAAACCTGTATACAAATGTGACTTTATTCATAACAGCCCCAAACTGGAAACAACCCAGATGTCCTTCAAAATGTGAGTGTTTAAACAAATTGTGGAAGAGCCATAATGTGGAATATCACTCAGCAATAAAAATATCAAACTATTGACATATACAAAACAACCTGGATCAATTTCTAGAAAATGCCAAAAGTTTGCACATAGTACTTATCACATTTAAAAATTTATACAACATTCTAATATAACATTCTAATATAACATTTTGAAATGATAAAATTATAGAAATGAAGAATAGGTAGTGGTTTCTAGGAGTTATGAAGTTAGGAGGGAAATGGCAACATGAGGCGTCCTTATTATAGAAATATTCTGAATCTATACCAATGTCAATATCCTAGTTGTGATATTTTACAATGATTTTGCAAGATTAGAAAAAATGGATGAAGAATACATGTAATTTTTATATTTGCTTAAATTTATATATATTTAATTTTGAATTTTGAGATCATTGTTGTAAAAAACATAGAGATCCTATGTACTCTTTAAGTATGTGTGTCTGTGTGTGTTGTGTATATCTATCCCAAACTTGGATACTTTGTAACTTTAAAAATCTTGATGTGATTATGATATGTATCCAGATGAAAAACCCTCTTTCAAAAGTATATTTTTCTTTCCTGCAATGATGGGAATGGAATCTAGAGTCTTGTATATGCTAGGTAAGTGCTCTACCCATGAGCTATCGCCCCAGCCTGATTTTTTTTTAAATATTTTTTAGTTTTAGGTGAACACAATATCTTTATTTTATTTTTATATGGTGCTGAGAATCGAACCCAGTGCCTCATGCATGCTAGGCGAGCTTGCTACCACTTGAGCCACATCCTCAGCCCCTGTTTGTTTTTTTTAATTTGCTCTTTTTAATTATACATAACAGTAGAATGTATTTTGACATATCATGCATACATGAAATATAACTTCCCATTGTTGTGGTTGTACATGATGTGGAGTTACACTGGTCATGTAATCATATTTGAACACAAGAAAGTTATGTCCAATTCATTTACTGTCTTTCCCATTCCCATCCCCCACACTTCTCCCCATTCCCCCATGTCCAATCTGGTGAATCTCTACTCCTCCCTCTCCCCTGCCTATTGTAAGTCAGGATCTGCATATTAATGAGAGATCCTTTGGTCTTTGGTTTTTGAGGATTGGCTTGTTTCACTTAGCTTGACAGTCTCCAGTTCCATCCATTTACTGGCAAATGCCATAATTTCATTCTTCTTTATGCCCAGCCTGGTTTTTTAATACTGAATGGATATTTGCATCTATGTTTACGTATGCAAACTGAGGAAAACAATAAAAAATGACAAGAATATGCAAAAATTATGAATTATAAGCCAAACAGAAATATTCATAGCTCTGACCACCTTGCTATGGATTATTATTTTAGTTTAATATTTATTTTTTAGTTGTAAGTGGACACAATATCTTTATTTCATTTTTATGTGGTGCTGAGGATCGAATTCAGTGCCTCATGTGTGCTAGGCGAGCACTCTACCACTGAGCCACAAACCCCAGCCCTAATGCTATGGATGATGATGATGATGATGATGATGATGATGATGATTATTTGGTTGTAGATGGACACAATTTTTTTTATATTTATTTATTTTTATGTGGTGCCGAGGATTGAACCCAGTGCCTCACACATGCTAGGCAAGCACTCTACCACTGAGCCACAACTGCAGCCCCAGATTATTTTAATATATGATTAAAAATAATGATTTTAGGATATAGCTTAGTTCACAGAGTACTTGCCTTGTATGCACAAGACCCTGGGTTCCATCCCCAGCACCACAAAAAAAAAAAACAAAAAACAATTATTCTTCACTTACTTATTAGGATATTATTGCGAAGTTCCTGTAGAAGGATTTGAAACTGAACTGTTCAGACCACTTTTGAAAATAGTTGACATTTTATGCTCAGGATAAAGAATAAAATCAGAAATTAATTGTATAATCAAAGATACACAAAGAAACACTTCTTACTTTTGTCTCTGCTGATCAATCCAGAACTTACAGCTCTTCCTGACAAAGTCACAGCCCATTCCTCGGCCCCAGTCTAACTTCTCAGCCATGCTGTAATTTGCTTTATACCAGCTGTGGAAACAATCCAAACAAAGCACCTTTTAGTATTACCATTATTTAAATTCACTTTTTTCTCCTTTGCAGTGCTCTGAATCAAACTCAGGGCCAAACAAGTGCTCTATCCCCAATCTATAACTGCTATCCCTAATAATGATTATTGATTACCTTCATTTAAGAAACAACTTAGCATACCAATTACAAATCTCAATAATGAGCAAATTAGGACCTTAAAAAGGACTTGGGAGGCCATCACCACAAATGAACATTTACAAAGTGCTTACTGCCAAAGGTCTGTTGTACAGGATCACTGGGGCAGGAGTTGGGTAATCAGTTCTATGTCAAACTACTTTCATATTTGGAAAACAAAACAAAATATATTTCCATTGTAATTTTCAAAAATGATGGAAGTCACAGAGTGACACAAAGTGGTTATATTGTGAGACAAGGAAAATAAGGACAAGGAAATATAATGAGAGAAAAAGAGAAGCTGAAAAGAAAGAAATAGTGGAATTACTACTTGGCTACCTTTTACCTAATCTAATTCAGTTGGCTCTAGTTTCTTGCTGTTCTGACCTTGAATCTGTGACATTCCTTGGGGTTCAAGGTGAAGCAGGACATTATGGTGGAAGTGTGTGGCAGAGGAAAAGTCAGGACATGGCTACCAAGAAGCAGAGAGAGAGAGCTCTGCTCAACAAGGACAAACCCCAAAGGCATGCCCTGTGGACCCACCTCCACCAGCCACACCCTATCTGCCTACAGTTACTACCCAGTTAATCCCTGTCCTGGGATGAATTCACTGACTGGTTTAAGGCCTTTATAACCCAGTCATTTCACCTTTAAATCTTCATGCATTATCTCACACATAATCTTTTGGGGAACACCTCACATTTAACCCATAACAGAGATAATTTCTATTTATAAGACATACAGGGTATTGTAGAACAAAGGAATACACAAGCGAATCCAGAATTCTGGGTCCACAATAAATTAACTGCCATGGGGGGTGGGGGAAGTGGCAGAGGTGTACAGGACTGCTGTACGTTAAAGGGCTTAAGAGATATTTTATTTACAACCCGATTTAAAAAAGAGAGATAAAAGATTTATGTGCTTATGAACTGGGTATTAGAGGATATTAGGAAATTATTAATTTTGTTACTGTTAAGTGTGGTTACATTAAAAAACATCCATATATTTTAGGGACGCATGGTGCAGTATTTAGGAGTAAAACGATGTGATGTCTGTGACTTGCAAGGTAAAGACCGTTGCCAAGTATGACATCTTATTTACTGTTGAATCCAGTTCATAGGCCTACAGTATTCATTGTATTATATAGACTGTTTAATACATGCATTTTTTATGTGTTGATAAATTTCATAATAAAATATTTAAAAGAATAATATTCCTGAGATGAAGTCTATATATATAGACATCAAAAATTTGTTATCACTTCATAGAAAATAATCTTTAACCTTAAAGCATTGCATGCTAATGACTTTTCAGGGTGCTATCTGCTACCTTCTAAAGATATAATAATATCTTGATATTTCTGTTAGACATAAGAATGCTATATTTTTTTTCCTTATTGTTCTTCAAATGGGCTAACGGAGAATTAAGAAAGTAGATAACACATACTAGACAAGTTTTCTACCCCTGAGCTATATCCCCAGTTCCATGACTTGCTGCATTCTTATACCCATTCCTTTTTCCTGAATTAATAGACAGGAAGCTAATTCTCATTTAACTTAATTCTCTCTTGTTTTTCTGGATCCTATCCATCTTGCATTCTCAGGGGAAAAGATGTGTTAATAAAATCCTTTCTTACCTATGTATTCCTCTCTCATGTAAGCAGATCAGCCTAAGAACTTCTCAGTCTCTTCCATTTTCATTGAAACTATTCTCAGGGTCAACAATGAGCTCTATATTTTAAAATCCTTATTTCTCTTTGATCACCCCCCCCAAAGTTAAGTTAAATCAACTATTTTCATGGTTTTAATAATACCTATACTATTGATTTTAAATTTGATTTCATTTTCAAATGTTCCCTCAGGCTATCTTAGAGAAAGAAGCACTGTTTCCAACTAAGCATTTCTGATTTTATTTGATACATAAAGATTCTGTAAAAGGTTTCATTTAATAACAGTTTACTGCTTTACCAGAAAGTTCCACTACTTTAAAAACCAGGAAACTATACATCAATCTTATTCACAATTTAAAAAATTATTTAGTTTTTCCTTCATATTAGAAGCTTTTCCTTACAAGAAAATAAATCTCATTAACATCATGGTTTTGCTCTATTATAACTATATCTCGGGGCCTTAAACAATTATTGAATGAATAAACAGATTTGGTGATAATGGACAGCTAACTGCACAAAATCCAATAATGCAGTAAGTAGTTTTGCTTTGATGTAAAATGTCAGCATTTTCTTAAGCTAATCTTAATATTCATTTAATTTTAATACATAAATCATGTATTCTCACAGCTGTCTTACCCAGTGTCCTCCATTAATGCCAGAGTGATTCGAGAGAGGACTCGGTTCTGGGTATGAGAACCAGTCATTGCTTCATTCTGAAAATCACCAACAAATTTTAGTTAGAAAATGACTCTATAATTCCTAATAATTTCTGTGATTTCTCTGATATATATTTAAAATGTTTCCAGTGAGGGACTGATAAAATATTCACTTAAAAGTAGTGAAATACAAAAGCCATCTTTAAAATGACTAGACTGAAATTTAAAGTCAAATCTATTTTTTGCTTCAAATGTTTCCATGTTTATAATTTCCCTGGAATGACAGGAACTAACATTTAAGATATTATGATGAAAATGAAGATAAATATATGTGGAATCAGAAATACTAATGTAAAGATTCTCCAGGCAAAGTAAAGTGAGACAATGCCCAGGTAATTTAGAATTAGGGAAATAACCACCTGAATTACATAGAAAATAGTTTCCTAATCCTTTGTGATCACAGATACACTAACATGCAAAACACATATGATAGAATCATGAGATCAAATAATCTATATGAGGGACCTAAAATATTCTCAAGGTATACTATCTACCCAATTTTAATTTATATGATAAAATTCCTTTCAGGAGGTCCTCTACAATAAAGACTCTATTGCCTCTTGAGAGAGCATATTTCTTCTTTGGATAGCTCTAATTTTTCTTCAACTCTTTATCTCTAATATCTTCTGACCCAGAAATTCCACTTATAGGAATTTATTCTTTCTTACTCTATAAACAAATGTGACCTTGGGTTAACTTTCTAGTTCTGTTCCCCTGGAAACCTAATAAAGATGGAATGTCAACTGTGTTACCAGGCATTAGTACTTAAGGGAATAAAACCTCCTGAAATACTTCTGGGCTTGGATTACCATAAATGAACATGAATACCTGTTGGTAAGCAACAGTTCTGGGACTTCTCTGTCTTGAAAATGTTTTATAGGGATCTGAAAATTATGTCTATGGAACTGTTAAAAAGATCATGTCCTATTTGGGACATGGTACTTTAAAAGCAAGGGTGGTTCTTGCATCCATCTTCTTTGGCATTATACTACTGTCCTTGAGTTGGAGAGGGAGGAAGAGAGGCACCAATGACAGCCCCTAGATTGCTGTTTCAGCACAACTAATGTGCCCAACACTGCGTGTTGTGTGTGCTTTGTGATACCCTTTCTAAGGAAATCTTTCTTTAGTGTGGCCTGTTGGAGTCTTGTGAGTTTGAATGTTTAGCTGAACCAAAGAATATCCACTGAAACACCAATCCTAGAAAGCACAGCAGTAAATGAGGAATAAATAAATAAATGGCTCATTATAATTTTTTAAATTAAAAATTGGAAACATAATTGTTCATTAACACATGACTGTTAGGTTACATTTGTATAATATAATACTCTGCAGCTCTTAAAAAATGAGGAGTTTCAGCCTCATTTTTGAAGCATCGTTATTGAAGCCTCTGGATTCAATAACATAAAAAACAACAACAATGACAAAACTGAGGAAATCAAAGCACACAGTCTATTTTGCTAATGCATGTATTTCAGCACTGTGAATGAACTCATGTGAGATGGAAAATAAGGGAGTGACATCAATATAATCCTGCTAATTCATTGTGACTTTTCCCTGGATGCTAATGTACGATGAAGCAATAGCAGCTAAATAAAAAATACACTAAGAAAAAAAATAAAAGAATAGAGGAATGCTATACAGAATGGTCTCTATTCTGTTCAATTCATCTTTTTCCCCTTGGCTCAGTAGGCTACAAGTGTTTATTGCACATTCTAATTTTGGTACATTTTACTCTTGTCCCTCTTACTCAAGATTTACAATCCCCCACCCAGCTACTCATTGCTAGTTTTTTTATGTTGTTGTTGTTTTTTTGTAGTTGTTGTGGATATTTTTGTTTTTGTTTTGCAGTACTGGAAATTGAATCCAGGGGTACTCCATCACTGAGCTACATTCTAGCCCTTTTGTTTATTTACTTTAAATTTTTGAGATAGAGTCTCCAAGTTGCCCATGCTGGTCTGGAACTTGCAAATCCTCCTCTGAAATCCGAGTAGCTGTGATTATAGGTCTGTTGTTGTCCAACGTAAAGAATTACTAGAGTAGACAAAGGACTGTATTTATTGGAAATTTAATGTCTTTTAAAATTGAGCTAGTAATTATGATTTATGTTTTTGTTAGTGCTCTGGATACTTGTTTTTCACACAAGTTTAGTTATTTTTAGGGTATCATATTGAAGAATAAATCTTTTTATTTTTTAGTACTGGGGATTGAACCTAGGGACACTTTACCACTAAACTACATTCCCAGTCCTTTTTTATTTTGAGATGGGGTCTTGCTAAATTGCTGAGGCTGGCCTTAAACTTGTGATCTTCTTGCCTCTTCCTCCCAAGTCACTGGCATTACTGGCATGTGCCACTGAGCCCAGTATAAAAAGGTGAAAGTATATGTTGCATTATAGCAGAAGCATTTGTATTGCCTTGGTAAGATGTCTACAGAATATCATTAAGTTAAAAAAGTTATATGAGTTCATAAAGAAAAACTTCATTACACAAAATACATGTATGAAGATGTGAATTTGGTGTCAACATACCTTATATACAATTAGAGATATGATAAATTGTGGTATAAAGCTGTATTAAGAATCGTAATGCAAAAATAAATAAATAAATAGATAGATAATTGGGAAAAAAAAGAAAAACTTCTGTGTGTATGTGTATATACATAAACTTAGACAATATTTAAGGAAGGATATAAGATAAGCTTGGAATTTAAGATTTAAATTAATTTGGATTTTAAGAGCTAAAGAGGAACCTGTTTAAATATCTTTTTCCATGAGTATGAATTACTTAAAAAAAAAAAAAAGTCTAATAAAACTTAAAAATAAACTGACCTCTAATAACCGTTTTTCCCAATGGTTGAGTTCAGTGCCCATACCACCTTGATTTTCAAGTTCCATTCCTTCTAGAATTGGACAATTAAAATGTTTTCGTGCTTCATCCTAAGAATCAGAAAAATAAAAACCCCACAAAAGTACTGTTAGATAATGTCAAATTCTTTATTCCATGAATACAACAGATATTAAAAAATCACTTTGGTAAGAAGAGAGAATTTTTTAAAAAATATAGTTTTTAATATAATTAAATTTTGATGGTGCTACATTCTTCTTTGCTAGGAAATTACTATATATATATTTCTTTTTACATTTTTGTATGGCTGTGTTATAGTTGTACCTATGATGGGATTTGCTGTTACATATTCATACATGAACACAATATAAAATATAACAATATAATTTGACCAATATTGCTCTTCAGCACATCCTCCCTTCCGTCCCCTTCTCCCAATCCCTGATCCCTTTTCTCTGTTCTACTGATCTCTTTTTGATTTTCATGAGATGTCCCCACCCCTGCTTTCTTTTCCTTTTTCCGCTCCAGCTTCCACGTGGAAGAGAAATCATATAACATTTAAACTTCTGAGTTTGACTTATTTTGCTTAATGGTCTCTAGTTCTATCCAGTTTTCTGAAAATGACATAATTTTACTTCTTTTATGATTGAATAAACTCAGTTGCGTATATATATTACATTATTTTTTTATCCATTATTCACCTGCTGATGGACACCTAAACTGGATATAGCCTGGCTATTGTGAATTGTGCTGCTAAAACATAGGTATGCATGTATCACTATACTATGATGACTTTTATTCTTTAAATTTTTTTATATTAGGAGTATTCTATTACAATACATTTTTTCTGCCTTTTTATTGGTGCATTACAGTGGTATATAATGATGGAATTTGTTGTTACATAGTTGTACATGTTACATTATATAACAATGTAATATGGCCAGTATCATTCCCCAGCACTTCCCCACACCCTCCTTGCCTCCCACACTCTGGTCCCTTTCCTTTAAAGATCATCTTTTGATTTTCATGAGATCCCTAGCCCCCACCTTTCTTTCCCTTTTTCCTCTCTAGCTTCCACATATGAGAGAAAATATATGACCCTTGACCTTCTGAGTTTGGTTATTTCACTTAACATAATGACTTAATTTCATTTTTCTTTATGGCTGAATAAAACTCCATTGTGTATATCTACTACATTTTCTTTATTCATTCATCTACTGATGGACTCCTAGGCTGGTTCCATAGTTTGGCTATTGTGAATTGTGCTGCCGTAAACATGGGTACGCATGTATCACTATAGTATGATGACTTTAATTATTCAGGATAAATATAGCTGGATCATATGGTGGTGATCCATGCCTAGTCTTTTGAGGAACCTCCATACTGGTTGTACTAATTTACAATCCCACCAAGAGTCTAAGGGTTTCTTTTTCTCCAAACCCTTTCCAGCATTTATTAGAATACTTGTATTCTTGATGGCTGCCATTCTGATTGATGTCAGATGAAATCTCGGTGTAGTTTTGATTTGCATTTCCCTAACTGCTAATGATGTTGAACATTTTTTCATGTATTTGTTGGCCAATTGCATTTCTTCTTTTGAGAAGTGTGTGTTTAATTCATTTGCCCATTTATTAATTATTTGGGTTTTTTTTGGTGTAAAGTTTTTTTTTTTAATATCTTTATTTATATGTGGTGATGAGGGTCAAACCCAGGGCCTCACGATGCTAGGCGAGTGCTCTACCACTGAGCCTCAACTCCAGCCCCTGGTATAAAGTTTTTGAGTTCTTTATATATTTTAGATATTAATCCTCTATCAGAAGAGTAGCTAACAAAGATTTTATACCATTCTGTAGGTTCTCTTTTCACATTGCTGGGCAAAGCTTTTTTATTTTATGCCATCCTATTTATTAACTCTTGGCATTATTTCCTGAGCTTTAGGAGTCTCATTGAGAAAGTCATTGCCTATGACTAAAAGCTGAAGTGTTGATCCTACATTTTTTCCCTCCCAATCCACTGTTGACTGTTTCCTTTGGTGTACAGATGTTTTTTCAACATTTTAATGTTTTTTACAATTTAACAAATAGTTCTCTTGATTACAGAGATATAAGACTACTTGATAGCATTCAGAAACATCACAGTAATGGTGGTTTCCCTGATCATAGTCTTCAATAATTAAAACAAGGAGTTATGTGTATAAAACTGCTGTCAAACCAGTAAGTCCATCACTTCCAAGGATTGTTGATAACTTGGGCATAATTTCTACCAAATAACCTTGCTTCTTTGTGTCACAAGGCCCAATTGACTCATGTTTATCTCAATGGCAGTATCTTTGGTAATAACATTTGAAGTTGAACATAGTGGCTATGAAGGATACTTTTTCACATCAAGTACTGATAGGCAATAGATGGCTTTCTATTCAGGATGTATTTCATGGGTCTTCTTGAAATGTAAGCCCCTTGTTCTAATGAATCTTTTAAATTTAGGTGATTTTTCTCATATAAAGTCATATCTAACAAAGCAGACTCTAGCAGCCATCCTCCTCTATACCTTCTTTTTTCTCTTTACTATTTAAACAACTTTTAATACTTCTGTTTCTCCCTGGGCATGAACTTTGGGCAGAGGGACTTACTAGTTTCCCGATGTCTCTTTTCTGTTTTGCAAAACCATGCTGGAAAGTACTTTTGCTTGGGACTGTGCTTCTCTGTCCAGTAGATAAGAAGGTACTGCTCCCTGTGAAGTCTTGTCATCATTCTTTTGTTTGGCGTTTCTCTTTTCATGCATCTTGATAGTTGTTTTCATTTGTATTTTCTCAGCATAGTGCTATTTATGGTAGACCTTAGTCTTCAGGCCAATCCCCCACCCCCAACACCCCCACCCCACTCTCGAACATTCATGAGACTCTAGAGTTTCCTTCTTTCTATTTTTCTCATGGTAATACAAGCAATATCTGTGGCGTTTATATTGTAATTTAATATATTCATTTTATAGAGTCAAAGGCCACAGCCTCCTGGGTGCAAAAAACTCTCCATTTTTGGATCTCAGAGACCCAAGAGATTATTCTGTGCAGTCCAAAAGGGGAAAGCCAGAAGCTTTTTAGTTTGATATAATTCCATTTGTCTATTTTTGTTTTTGTTGTCTGTGCTTCTGAGGTTAGTAAAAACAAAAAATTATTTCCAAAACCAATGTTGTGTAATTTTCCCACTGTTTTATTCTGGAAGTTTAATATATTTTGAGTTGTTTTTGCATAAAGTATCAGATAAAGGTCCAAATCTATTCTTCCGTGTATGGATATCTAATTTCCCCATTTATTGAAGAGACTATCTTTTTCCCATTGGGCATTCTTGGCACTTCTGTAAAATATCAACTGACCATATATGCCTGGGTTCATTTCTCGGCTCTCTATTCTGCTCCACTGCCTGGTGTTTCTATTTTTAGTCCAGTACCAGGTTGTTTGAATTACTACAGTAGTTCTCCCTTATCTGTAAGGGATACATTCCAAAACCCCTAGTAGATGCCTGAAATCCAGATAGTACTGGACCTATACTATGTTTTTTCCTATATATACATATTAAACTGTGATACAGTTTAATTTATAAATTAGGAATAGGAAGAGATTAATAATAACTAATAATAAAATAGAACAATTATAACAATATACTATATTACAAGTTAGAACTTATAAATTATTTACTTCTAGAATTTTCCATTTAATATATCTGGACTTAAGACTGGGGATAAAAAGCAAAACCTCAGTCAAAGTGGGGACGCCTGTACTATGAAATCAGGTAGTGTGATGCCACCAGCTTTGTTCTTTTTACAAATGATTGCCTTGGCAATTAGGAGTTTTTTGTGGTTCCATATGAATTTTAGGATTTTTTTTTCTATTTCTGTGAAAAAAGACATTGGAATTTTGTTCAGGGTTGCACTGAATCTGCAACTGTTTGGGGTAGCATGGATATTTTAGCAATATTAACTACAGGAATTTATCTATTTCTTTTAGGTTATCAAATTTGTTGGCACAACTGAGTGCAGTGACAACACCTGTAATCTCAGCAATTCAGGAGGCTGAGGCAAGAGGAAGGCAAGTACAGTCAGCCTCAGCAACTTAGCAAGGCCCTAAGCAACTTAGACCATCTCAAAAGAAAAAATAACAAGAACTGGGGATGTAGCTCAGCAGTTAAGCCCCCCTGGGTTCAATCCACTGGTACACCCCCACAAAAAATTTATTGGCATATACCTGTTCACAGTAGTCTCTTATGATCCTTTGTATTTCTGTGATATGAGATGTAATGTCTCCTCTTTCATTTTTACTTTATTTCAGTTTTCTTCCTTTCTTTCCTTTGTCTAGCTAATGTTTTGTCAATTTTATCTTTTCAAAAAAAATAATTTTAAGTTTCATTGATTTAAAAAAAATTATTTTTTATTGTAGTTCAACACAACACCTATTTTTTATTAATTTACTTTTATGTGGTGCTAAGGATCGAACCCAGGGCCTCACACATGCTACGCGAGCACTCTACCACTGAGCCACAACCCCAGTCCCTTCATTGATCTTTTGTGTCTACTAGTGTCTACTAGTGTCTACTTCACATATTTTTACTCTCTTCTTTATTGTTTCCTTCCTTCTGCTCACTTTGGTCTTAATTTGTTCATCTTTTTTTAGTTCTTAGAGGAATAATGCAAAGTTGTTTATTTTAGTGCTTCTTCTTCTTCTTTTTTTTTTTGTAACAGGGGTGCTTAACCACTAAGCCACATCCCTAGCCCTTTTAAAAAATATTTTATTTAGACAAATGGTCTCACTGAGTTAATTAGAGCTTCACTAAGTTGCTAAGGCTGGCTGGCTATGAACTCTTGATCCTTCTGCTTCAGTATCCAGAGCCACTGGGATTATAGGTGAGTACCGCCATGCTCAGCTTCTTTCTTCTTTTTAGATGTACTTGTTTTTTTGCTGCAAACTTTCCTCTTAGAACCACTTTTGTTATATTCTGTAAGTTTTAGTATTTTCTATGTTCATTTTCATTTATTTAAAGATATTTCAATATCTTGAGATTTTTTAAATTTCCCCTTTATTTCCTTATCAACGCATGTTGGTAGTTCAGGAATGTATTGTTCCAAGTATTTTTAAATTTCCAAAATTCCTGCTGTTATTAATTTCTATTTCACATCTTTGTGGTTAGAAAGGTACTTGATATGACTGACTTTTCTTAAACTTTCTAAGGCTTTTTCTGTGCCCTAACGTGTGATCTATTCTGGAGAATACCCTTGAGAGGAATGTATATTCTATTGCTGTTGAATGGAATGTTCTGTATATCTCTTAGTACCATTTGGCCTAATGTGCTGTTCAAGTCCAATGTTTCCTTATTAATTTTCTGTCTGGGTGATTAGTCCATTGTTCAAAGTGGAATATTAAAGCTTCGTATTATTATTGTATTACAATTTATCTCTCCATTCAGAAAGAGTAATATTTGTTTTACATTATCAGGTGCTTTGAAGTTACGTACTTATAGATTTAAAACTGTCATATCCTCTTGATGAAGTAACCTCTTTGTCATTATATAATATACCTATTTGTCTTCCTATACCTTTTTTTTACTTAAAGTCTATTTGGTTTAAGTATAGCTACCCTTGCTCTCTCAAGAATAATTTTAATACTGATGTAAATTGTTATGGAAGTATATTTTGTAGGGGAAAAAAGCTATTCAGGCTATTATTATCATCATCATCATTCACAGCACTTTTTATTTTTTATTTTGAGACAGCATCTTGCTAAGTTGCCCAAGCTGGACTTGAACTTATGATTCTTCATAATCACTGGGATTGCAGGTATGTGTCACACTCAGCAAAAAAAAAATGTTATTGAGTAGAAAACAAATTTACTTATTGGATTTTGTCTGTTTTTGAGTTAGAGATTTCGAGGGATGGAAAATAGCCCAAGAACACTGAAAGAGTTTAGAAAGCAGAGAGATGTGAGTAGTAAAAGAAAGGTGAAAGCAGAATAGCTTTCTGTCATCAAAAAAATGGGGAATCCTGTGATGGTTAATTTAATTTGTCGACTTGGTTGGGCCACAGTGCCCAGATATTTAGTCAAACACTATTCTAGATACTACTGTAAGGTGTTTTATTGGATGAGATTAATATTCCTAATTTTTTTTTTAGTTATAGATGGACACAATATCTTTATTTATTTATTTTTATGTAGTTCTAAGGATCAAACCCAGTACCTCACATGTGTGAGGCAAATGCTCTACTACTGACCCATAACCGCAGCCCAAGATTAATATTTACATCAGTGGACCCTAAGCTAAAAGCAGACTGTCCTCCATAAAATATGGGTGGGCTCAAGCACCCATTGAAAGCTTAAACAGAACAAAGACTGACCTGCAAGCAAGAAATAATTCTGTCTTTAGAGTCAAACTGTAACTCTTCCCCAAGTCTCCAGTCTGCTTGCCTACCTCATCAGATTCAGATCTACCAAACTTCTGCAGTTGTGTGAGACAATTCCTTAAAAGAATCTCTCTTTCCCCCACTTCTACCCCTCACACCCTGTTTGTCTCTCTTTCTCTGCAGACCCTTGACTAATACAAACCCTCAAATGAAATGATAAACAATTACAGAAATAGTACAATGATCCTAAAAGGTATCATAACAGAGGCAGCACTTCCTTAAAGCAGTGTATATGATAGGAATCATGAATGTCAATGTCAATTTTCTACTTCCTCATCTTTCTCCTGGCTTATAACTTTATTGCACTGCCTTTATACTACTGATTCTACTTTAGGCTCTGAAATTTAATTATAAGTTCTTAAACAATAGTGATTAATAAAACAAGTATTATAATGAAGGAAGATGGTTCATGAGACATAAAGAAGTTCAATAATACTCACAACAACACGAGGTGTTACTAGAAGATACACAGTGTGACGAACTATCTTATTATCTCGAATGTTCCATGATCTTTCCACTTTTCGAACTACTTTATCACTCCACTGATATAATCCAAGACTGTAATTATAGAATAGAAAGACAGTCATTCTGCAAACATACTACTACTTTAAAAATAAAAGTATTCATGAGTATCAATATGAAATTAAAATATTTGAGAACTTACACTATCCCATATCCATGAAAGGAATTTTCAAATTTAATCTTTTGAACAACCCTATGAGCTTGTAAGCACTATTTTGTAGTTAAAAGAGATGTTACTCACTTGCATGTATGTATGCATGCATGACAAATGAAGTAAAAAGACACAAAAGTAGATAGAAGAAATATTTGCAACATACATGAAAAAGGATTAATATCTCTATATATTAATACAAAGTAATTAGAAAAAGAAAACTAACCCAAAAGATTGGACAAAGAAAATAAAACTAGTAGTCCTGAGTATAATAATGACATAACATCTTTATTCAACAGRTAAACCTAAAATATGACCTATAATATTCAATACTGGTAATGATGGTAGCAAGCATTCATGCTATCATCCATCATGAACTTGGCCACATCTTCAAAAATCTAATATGGGGCTGGGAAGTAGCTCAGTTGTAGAGTGTTTGCTCGTATGTCTTTTTTCGAGCCCTTAAGGTCAGAGGAGCAATTCAGGACCCCAAAGAAAAAGGTATTTGTCTGTCTCTGGGTGGTTATTTCATGCAGCCCAGTTTACCTGGAGTGACCCTGAATGTTTTAGTTGCAAGGAACGGACATTCCTYTGCATTACTGCATATAGCATTAGTATATCTTTTTTTTTCTGGTGCTGGGGATTGACCCCAGAGCCCCACATGTACCCACTTTACCTTTGAGCTAATCCCAGCCAATTGTGTTTTCTTTCTTAGTGCTATGTAGTTTTTAGTTATATGAATATATCACAATTTATTTACCTATTCTATTACTGATGCAGCTTTTATATTTTAGGTGATTTATATGGTTTGACTATTAATAACAAAATCATGATGAATATTTTGTACAAGTGTTTTTATAGATATGTGCTTTTAATTTAGAGACTTATTTTTTATATAAATGCATGCAAACAGTTATAGTTCTAAAACTGATATTATCTATAAAATTCTTTTTTCCCCCCAGTGCTAATATCAAACCCAAAGCCTTGAACATATTAGGCAAATGTTATATCCCTGATCTAAACCTCCAATCCCACTATAAGTCCTTGATAAACCTTTTCAGTTTTCTTACTACAGCATATTTTAGGCCCTGAACTTCTGAATCACCGCTAACCTGCTAAACTAAACAAAATATCAATTAACATGTAAATATTGCCATGCACAGGCAATAACTGTTAAAAAGGCAAAATATAATCAACCCACATTTTACCAAAGCCTGACTGTACTATAAGGCACAATATGGTGAAAAGAGCCTAGCCTGATAAATGAGTCCTGGCTCTTTGAATAGGTCATGAGGCTAAATGATCCTATCTTGTTTTACTATGTACAGTTAGTTTCCTTAGATTATCCATAAAGACACTGTTATTTAACACCTAACAACATACCATGATTCTGATTTTTGTCTTAGCATCCTCTAAAAGAAGAAAATAAAAATAGTAAATACCTGTAATTAAAAGGCGGGAGACCATCTGCAAACCTTGAAGTTAGAGGGTTTCCATCTTTATCATGGTAGAATGCAAAAAGCCCAGCAGAGAAACCCTATAAGAAAAAGTCTGAAATGTCTTACCCTGAAAATATCAAGTCTGATTACAGATATCATAACATGTCTGCTATCAAAAGAAAGCACTGATATAAATACATAACGCAGGAACTTCTCATAGGCTACAAGTAAACTATGATTAAGTGGGTCATGTTTATCAATTCTAAATTCTAACTATTTAAGGTAAATATTTAATCAAAGTTTTTCCAAAATGTGTTATATATTTTAAAATTACTTTCAGTATAAATACAATGAATAGCAATTACTGTGCTATAATTTGTCTAGGCACTATTAGCACTTTTAAATCAAACCATCTGTGTTCTTTAATTCCTGTGTTTTTTTTTTTTTTTTTKTGTGTGTGTGTGTGTTTGTTTTTTGGTACCGGGACCGGGGATTGAACTCAGGGGCACTTAACCACTGAGTCACATTCCAAGTACATTTCTGTATTTTATTTAGAGACAGGATCTCACTGAGTTGCTTAGTACCTCGCTAAGTTGCTAAGGTTAGTTTTAAACTCAGAATCCTCCTGCCTCAGCCTCCTAAACTGCTGGGATTATAGGCATGTACCACTGCACCTAGACTAAAGGATTTTCATGGCTATCAGAAGTACCAGCAGCCTAAGGCTCTGTCACAGCTATATACTCTCATGGACTTTTTAGTATCTTTTATTCATAAATCTCAGGATTTTTGTGATACTGGGTATTCGACCTATAAATTTCAGGATTTTAAGAGGAAAACCTTCTATGAAAAAGTCATTCTGCCAGGTGTGACGTTGCATGCCTGTAATCCCTGCAGCTCAGGAGGCTGAGGCAGAAAGAAGGCAAATTCAAAGCCAGCCTCTGCAATTTAAAGAAAAGCTAAGCACCTAGTGAGACCCTGTCTCAAAATAAAACATAAAAATGGCTGAGGATGTGGCTCAGGGATTAAGCGTCCTGGGTTCAATCCCTGGTACCAAAAGGGGGGAAAAAGAGTCTTAAACTAGCCAGGAATCATGGCACATGCCTATAATCCCAGGGTCTTAGAAGGCTAAGGCCAGCCTGGGCAACCTAGCCAGACCCTGACTCAAAAAAAAAGGGGGTGGGGTGGGGCTGGGGATATAGTTCTGTTGGTAGATTGCCTGCCTCATATCACAAGGCCCTAGGTTCAATTTCCAGCACCACACACACAAAAAAAAGCCTGGGCAGAATGCTGAGAGATAGAGCACCCCTAGGTTCAATTCCCCAATATCACAAGCAATACCCAACAACAAAAAGTCTTCAATCTTAATGAGATAATCAATACCTAATATAAAATATTCAAATTCCCATCCCCTCTTCCAACAACAAGGTGAGAAAAGGGGAAAAATTAATGCCATTTGGTATCTTCTATTTCATTAGTGAGATTCTTTTTCTTGCTTTCTTTCCTGATCTAATAACTAAAATAAAACTACTTTCATGTTTTATAAATAGAAAATAAAATCTAGTTCATAACCTAGTAGCTATCAATTGTAAGTGATCACCTACTTAACTTCTTTGCTGATATAATTGTGGATTCTGTGTCATTCAAACTTTGCCAGAATGAGTAATGGAGTCCAGATTATTCTTTTATCTCTACACGTTTCTTCTTCCTTTTCCCCCTCTTGCTCCATTCTTCTTCTTCTTCTTTTTTTTTTTTTTTTTTGGTCTAAGGATCAAACCTAGGGCCTCGCATATGATAGACAAAGGATATACCTTTTTGAACTACACTCCAGCCCTTTTTTATTTTTTTCTTTTTGTACACTCCAGCCCTTTTTTATTTTTTTCTTTTTGGTACTGGGGACTGAAACTAGCCGTGCTTTTCCACTGAGCTACATACCCAGACTTTTTTTTTTTGTGACAGGGTCTCACTAAGTAGCCCAGGCTGGCCTTGAACTTGTGATCTCCCTGCCTCAGCTTCCCAAGTAGTTGAGATTACAGGTTTGTGCCACCATGCCCAAACAAACATTTCATTATAGTATCTCCTTATGTGAAGAACATGACTATTATCTAGTTACATTAGAGTTTCAATTTGTCAATCAGTATGTTTGATAATTGAAAGACAAACTTATATTTCAAGGTCATACATGATAGCTCACTAAATAAGAAAAATAATAGTCACTAATTTTATTATAGCTTACTACATATAGCATGGTGCTACACCAGTTATACGTACTGTCTTGTTTAACCTTCAAGAAATAAAATTCATTGTAGTATGTACTATTATTTTCCTCATTTTATAAATGAAACTGAGGCTACCAAAGACTAACCAATTTGCACCAAATCCCCAAATTTTTAATCATACAGCTAAGAAAATTCATACCTATGTCTGTGTGACCCTTTCTCCCTTAACAAGTGTATTTTGTTCCCCTCCATTTCCTAAACATATTTAAATAGTATCAGAGAACTTTTCCTAGGGTTTTAGGCAATTTCTTTAAATCCCATAGGCATCTGGTAAAATTTAATATTTTGGGCAAATTGGGGAAAAGGAATACAGAAATTCTGAATCAGTTAGTACATATATATTTAGAAAGCCCAAATGGCCCAGAGTGATGGCATACACCTGTAATCCCAGCAACTCAGGAGGCTGAGAAAAGAAGATCACAAGTTTGAGGTCAGCCTCAGCAACTTGGTAATAATAACCTGTCTCAAAACAAAAAAATAGAAAGGGCTGGGGATATAGCTCATTGATAGAGAACCCCTGGATTCAATTCTTAGTATCAGACACATGCATACATACACAAAATAAAAAAGAGGGAAAAAAGCCCATGTTAGACCAAGAGGGCTTTTACAAATTAGCTTTCCTAAGAGCTGTATCAGCATATCGAATATTCTAGAGGAAAGTAATTTTTCTAAGTTACTAAATTCTTTTCAGAAGAAGCTTAATCATTCTCCCCAAGTCCTATTTACTGAATAGATCAAATATCTAATTATATTAGATAGAAAAATTCAACCTACTCATTATCCTATCATTAAAAATTCTTTATTAGCAGAGACCTAATTAATCAGGTTTTACTGAACAAAAATGTAAGAATTCACATAATCTTAAATTTTAAAATATGCAACAAAATAAGAACACAATAAACAGAAAATTAAAGCATGAAGGAAAGAAGAGTAGGTAACAGCTTTACCAGGGCATGAATAATTTCATGTTTCACTGTGGACAGCATCCCAATAAACTCCTGAGGCTGGGTAGAGATCATATTTGGACACAGGTTAGCATATCCTGCTATTGGCCTGTTAAAATAGACATCGAATTTTTATTATATTCCAGAACAATATTTATTACTATATTTACTAATCTATGATTCTCTATGAAAAACTGCTCAAGGACAGAAAAACCTTTATTTAATATTCAATATAATTTTTTGAAATCTTAAAAAAAAATTTTAGTTATAGATGGATACAATTTTTTTTTTTTTTTTTTTTTGATGCTGGGGATTGAACCTAGGGCCTTGTGCAAGCAATACAAGTACTCTACCAACTGAGCTATATTCCCAGCCCCTAGATGGACACAATATATTTATTTTATTTATTTATTTTTTATGGTGTTGTGGATCAAACCCAGTGCCTCACATGTGTAAGTGAGTGCTCTGACACTGAGCTACAACCCCAGCCCTTCAATGTAATTTTGTGGCTAACTTTCACTATCTTTTACTCTCAAGACATGTACCCTTTGCTTTCCTATGGCATGACAAAGGAAAATCTATTTCCATAAAAGGATATATGGCCAATTAATTATATATCAGTGTAAATTAAAATATGTAATACCAAAAAAGGAATAAACTAAAAAATGTACATTCTAGTACTATTTTATTGTAAACCCCGTATTTGATTTTTAGCATTTCCCTATATTTTCAGGCATAGAGACAACTAAGTAGACAGGGAAAACAGATATATAATGGGCCAATAAACCATTCAGGTTGCTGAAAATTGCTCAACCTTTCTTAATTTCCATCTTTCCTTTTCTTCTGCTGCCAAAATGCCTATATTCACATACATACTTTTACCTTCCCATCATCTTCTTTCAAGTTGTACACACTGTAGAATCTACAGAATTCTACATCTCTCTTTGTGCCTAGAACTGGAGAATTCAGGACCACACTAGGACCCAGGGTGATTAAATCACTTCTATCATGTACCTACTTGTCTTTCGAAAGCTGTGGTAAATAGACAATGCTAAAAAACATGAAGATTCTTCTACATTTTTTTTCTTAACATTTACCACAGAAAAACTACAAACCTCACCAATTATATTTCCTTACTTATAAAGAAGATACACTTTATTTAAATAAAAATGCAGTACATTTCTTTATACTTGATAGCAACAGACTTAGAAAAAGTAAGAAGATAAATTACTTATCAAAACATTGCACGGTGACTTCTAAAATATAAAATATGTCATTGCTAGGCTTAAAAGCCTTCACGGACTTTTTTTTTTTTTTTTTTTTTTGCTTTTTGCACTCTAGGATTGCACCTAGGGATGCTCTACCACTGAGCCACATCCTCAGCCCTGTTTATTTTTTTAAGACAGGGTCTCACTAAGTTGCTGAGACTGGCCTCAAGCTTGCAATTCTCCTGCCTCAGCCTCCCAAGTCACTGGGATTACAGGCATGAGCCATCACATGTGGCTACTTCACGGACCTCTCACAGCACTTAAAATAAGTAATAGTTCTGTCTCCCTCTTCTAACACAGTGTCCACTAAAGTGACCTCTGACAGCAAAATGTATACATGCTTTTTCCTAACATAAGTTTTTTTCTCCAACCTCTTTACTTGGATAAAGCCTTTCAATGTTCAGGTCAAAGCTAAAATTTCACTTATTCAAAGAGGCTTTCCTTGCTCAACTGAATGAAATGTATCTTCTCCTTTTACTCCCTTTTACAACATCCTGTACAAAATATTTTTCTATAAAGTATAATATTTTAAATCACATATCTACAATTAAAATTTAAACCAATACCTGTCTTCTTCTGAAATCTGTAAATTCCATGAGGTGGGTGCACATGTGTATTTTGTTCACCTTGTCTGCTGGCAATATATTAGACATTCAAATAATAATGGAATGAATTCATGAAATACACCAGTTTTGAAGGAAGATTCCTTCAAAAAGATTCAAAAAAGAAATACTGGAGACATTGTACTGCTCATTCTATAAACATCAATACTATTCTCAGAAAAAAAAACAAAATCTTTCCCTAGATGTGAGTAGTTTCATAGTCATGGTACAAAGAACATTTATTCTTTTAGCTACTCATTCATACCAAACAAACCAAACATTAAGGTGCTGTAAATAAATATAACTATAAATAAACATAACAATGACAATGAAACACACCTCTCACTTAAGGGGATTCTCCTTTGTGTGACTCCTATGCTGGGTTCTCTCACCAGAAGACAACTAGACACTTTGGTATTTTCCACATTATGAGATGCTGAACTGAGATTAACTAACTTAGACTCAATCCAGGATTTCATCTTTCTTCTCACTTCTCCAGGGATGTCTTTCTTATTCTAATACATAAGGTTCATTTTAATGGGTCTTTTAGAAAAGTAATAAAAACTCATTGTCAAAAGGTATACATTATAACGCAACATAATATTGGAATGTACAAAGAAAAAAGTGAATATTACCTGTTTTATACCCTACACTTACTAAATTCCATCAACAATATTATGTGCATCCATTTTATGGTAACTAGTCATCCTGGTTTGCCCAGGACTGAGGAGTTCCTGGAATGTGAGACTTTCAAAGTTAATAAATGATACTACCAGGGCAGTCCTAGACAAACTGGAATGACTAGTAATCCTATTTCTGACTTTTTCCTTAGCACATTCAAATACATGCGTAGATTTTTATTAAACAAATATGGACTCGTATTAGGTACTCTCCTTTGCAATCTTATTTTAACCCTTTCTAATAAGTTCAAAATAAGATTTTGTGTGCATTTGATACGTATAGCTTAGTTAAAGTTAAAATAAAAATATGATTTTGCAGGACTCCTTTTGGGAAAGTATACTTCTCAAAGATATCCACTTTTCTTAAATATCTCATTTTATCAAGTAACTTATTCATTTAATACTTTAACTAGCAAATTTCATTGCTATTAAGACATCATTCATAGTTATAAGTTATAAATTTAAAGGCATCTTCTCAAGGAAAAAAGAATACTAGCATATACATAATCTGCAAAAACAGTACTTTCTTCTACAGCAACATACTCAATAGTTGATACTTAGCTTTCTCAACATTCAGTCTAATGACTTGAGTTGATTTCACCAGTCAACAATTACATCTTATCACACTAAGAGACTGCTTTTCATAATGCATTTACTTTTACTTCCTTAAGTACCTTTAAGATTGACAATATAAACCGGGCACAGTGGCACACATCTATAATCTCAATAACTTTGGAGACTGAGACAAGAGGATGGCAAGTTCAAAACCAGACTGGGCAATTTAGCAAGGCCCTAAGCAATTTAGCAAGTCCCTGTCTCAAAATAGAAAATTAACAGGGGATAAGTGGTAAAATGCCTCTGGGTTTAATCCCCAGTACCAAAAAAAATCAAAAAGATTGACACTACAATTCTGAAGCATATACCAGCATTTTCTTCGTATTGTCTACATGATTCAACTAAGTTTTTTAATTTTTCTTCAAGTAAATTWCACCAATAGAAAAAAAATGGTTCTTTATGTTGGAGTCAATAAATGGATGTTTTGCACCGCAGCAATGGTCCTTACATGCACATGAATTAGACACATTACCCTCTCTTAAATTTGAGAATGTCTATATAGTCAATTCTGAGACATGCATCAGTTTCTACTGTTTTTTCTTTAATTTTTTAGTTGTAGATGGACACAATACCTTTATTTTGTTTATCTAGTTTTGTTTTTTTTTTTAATGTGGTGCTAAGGATCAAACCAGTGGCTCATGCATGCTAGGAAAAAGCTCTACCACTGAGCCACAACTCCAGTCCAGTTTCTACTGCTTTTTTTAACTGATTTGCTTGGTGTATGACAGGCAATCTTCTGTATATATACTAACTTTTCATTTCAAGGCTAGGCTGCTTCACCATGAAAATTTTTTTTAAATCATTTGTGAAAAACAAAGAAGTTTCTGAATTGTTAAGGGATTATTTAGCTAAATGCAGCATATGTAACGAATGATACAACAATTAAATTATTCTCAATTAACATCTGATGTTCCTTTGCAGAAGTATTCACCTGGAAAGAAAATTCTCTTCACAGTACACTTTTTCTTTGGAGTTTATGGGTAAAAAAGATAGGATCAGAATGAAAGAGGAGTGGAGAAGAAAAAGTCAAATGAGTTTTTCACTCTTCTTCATTCTTACCAGAAAACTTCTATTACCAATATGAATAACAGTCCTACCACAGAGGAAGAGGGGGCACCCTTTAAACCCAGGCAGCATGTTATTTCTTACTATTGGAGGCAATTGTCAAATGTAAAATTCCTGTAATGGTAACAATAAAAATATGGTTTAAGAGTTCCCTGATTAGATCTTATAAAATAAATCTCAAAGAAACATTTACCTGTCCATTTTTGCCTCCTGCTGACAATAGGCTGCATAAGAGATAATGTTTTCATGGAGGCATCTCTCAGTGGCCAGAGCACCAACATAAAGGACAAAGTCTGCATCTCGGACACCCTCTTGATCCAGCATACCCACTGCTCCACAGGGCCACTTACCCCCTCGGCAAACCCTACATTGCTGCACCAGTAGGGATGAACAGAAAAATCAGGCCAGAGACATGGTTAGCTAAAGAGACAAACTTAAGAGTGAATCCAGTTTATATCTAAATATGGTATGATTTATTTTATAAAGGCCAAAAAACTAGTATGCAGAAAAGATAGAAATTAAAAAGGTTTCAAAACCCTAAAACTTAGTGATGAAACTTCCATATACTTTTTTTGGGGGGGGAGGGGGTGATTGGAATTGAACTCAGAGTCTCAACATGCTAAATGCTCTACCACTGAACAATGTCCTATACATAATTTTTACAACTTGGGAGGCTATAGTTATTTCAAAATTAATTAATAAAAAACTTTTTAGTTAATGGAAATATATTTCCTATTATAAAGAAATCCATGTATCTTTATTTTATTTTATTTTTTTTGTTTGTTTGTTTTTTTATTCTTTTTTCTTTTTTTTTTGTTAAACTCCATGTATCTTATTTAAAAAATTTGATAATATAAAACCATAAAAAGAAAAAATTAAAGTCATCCATGATTATTACCCTTGTTTCTAGTTTTCTTTTTTCACCCCTCTCAGTAGTAAGAGACTTGTTTCTAGTATTTTCTAGGCAAATCTTACTTTGACTCTTCAAATTACAATTAGAAAAAAATCAGTAATTTTTTTAGGTTAAGCTATGCTTGCAGAAAGAAGAAAAAACAAAAACAAAAGACCCAGACACTCCCATTTCACTTAATAGAAAGTATATGCTATTTACTCTTGCTTCTATAACATATCTTTATAATTTTAAAATTCAATTATTTTAACCTATTAGTAGCTGGTAGTACAAAAAGTTTACAATTTTAAGCTTCTTTCTCATGATTATCTACTTAATTTAAAAAAATCAGAACTTTCAAGAAGTAGGAAGTAGAACTTGGAAGAACCAAGAAAATTAAAAGCAATGAACAAACTCTTAGAAAAAAAAATAATGAAATTAGTCTTAAAATATCTAGGAAGTGCCTTGGCAAAAGAGATAGGGATACAATCAACAATCTGTTTAAAATTTTAAACATGTTCCTAAAGCTCCTTGTGCACCCAAGAAATTTGAAACAGTTAAGTAAAACTGAGTAAGCAAATTGTAGGTGCCAACCTGTACAATTAATTGTACAGGTGCCTTTACTTAGCTTCAAATACCTTAAGAAAAAATTCCAAAGGAATCTAATCTAAAATATATGGTCTTCCTTCTATTTATTTACAATATAAACACATACACATACTTTTTTCATTGGTGTATTACAATTATACATAAAATGGGATTTACTGTGACATATTCATGCATGCATATAGCCTAATTTGATCAATTTTATTCGCCAGTTCTTCCTCTTTTCCCCTCCCCTCAGACCCCCTTATCTCTACACTACTAATATCCCTTCTATTTTCACGAGATTCCCTTTATTTCTCTGTAGCTTCAGCTTATAAAACATGTGACTCTTGGCTTTCTGAGTCTGGCTTATACAAATTTATTTAGTGTGATATTCTCCAGATCTATTGATTTATCACCAAAAGACACAATTTTATTCTTTTTTATGGCTGAATAGAACTCCATTGTGAATAGATACATTTTCTTTAACTGTTCATCTGTTGATGACATCTATGCTAGTTCCCTAACTAGGCTCTTGTGAATTGCACTGCTATACACATTATGTATTGTTATGGTATGCTGATTTCCAGTTCTTTTGGATAAGTCTTGAGGAATGGAATAGCTGGGTCATATATTGGTTCCTTACCTAGTCTCCTGAGGAAATGCTCTACTGATTTCCACAATGGTCATACTAATTTATGGTCTCACCAACAATTTATGTGTTCCTTTCTCCCCACATCCTCTCCAGTGTTTTTTATTATTTACATTCTTGAGGGTTGCCATTCTAATTGGGATGGGATGAAATTTCAGTGTAGTTTTGATTTTTATTTCCCTGAATGCTAAAAATGTCGAACATTTTTCATATATTTTGGCCATTTGGCTTACTTCTTTTTTTAATATATATTTTTTTAGTTGCCAGTGGATTTTTTACTTTATTTCTTTATTTATATGTGGTGCTAAGGATCAAACCCAGGGCCTCACACATGCCAGGCAAGCGCTCTACCACTGAGCCACAACCCCAGTCCCTGGCTTACTTCTTTTAAGAATGTCTGTTTTGTTCTTTTGCCCACTTATTGACTAAGTTATTTGTGCTCTTGGTATTTTAAGTTTTTTGAATTCTTCATATACTCTGGGATATCCTCTGTTCAGAGAGTAACTAGCAAACTCCCATCCTGTAGGCTCTTAATTGTTTCCTTTGATGTGCAGAAACTTTTAAATTTGATGCCATTCCACTTATTCTTTGTTTTAATTCTTTTTGTATTTTTTTATACCAGGGATTGAACTCAGGGGCATTTGACTACTGAGCCACATGTCCAGGTCTATTTTGTATTTTTTTATTTAGAGACAGGGTCTCACTGAGTTGCTTAGTGCCTTGCCTGTTGCTGAGGCTGCCTTTGAACTTGCAATTCTCCTGTCTCAGCCTACCAAGCCGCTGGGACTACACAGGCATGTGCCTCTGCACCCGGCCTTTTTGTTTTAATTCTTGTGCTTCAGAAATCTTATTAAGAAAATCAGTGCTTGTGCCTATTTGATAGAGTGTTGACCCTGTTTTTCTAAGTTATCTGGTCTAATTCCTAGGTCTTTCATCCATTTTGAGCAGGGTAAGAGATAGGGGTCTAATTTCATTCTATAAATGGCTACTCAGTTCTCCTGGCACAATTTGTTTAAAAAGGCTATCTTTTCTCTACCTTATGTTTTTGGCAACTTTGTCAAAGATGAGATGACTGTGGCTGCTTCTGTGAGGGTTGTCTGTGTGTCTTCTGTTCTCTTCTACTGGTCTTCATGTCTGTTTTTATGCTGTACCATGTAGTTTTTGTTACTAAAGCTGTGTAGTTACCATTAGTTCTTAAAGGAAACCACTAACATTTTGATTTTTGTACAGATTTTTTAACATACACATTCCTCAAGACTATTTCGTAATTTTTAACTTATGTATATCTGTACTTTTCAATAAAACACATTGATAATTTTTTTTCATTTAAGAGCTTAAATATCTTTTCCAGTTAGTACATAGAGATCTACTTTGTTCTAAAACAACTGCATAGTATTCCATTATATGGTTATAACATAATTTAATAATTTACATATGTATACTTATAGTTTTACAAAGAACACCCTTGAACACACAGAAGATAGTTAATACTTTTTTTTTTCCTTGAGACAGTGTCTCACTGTGTTGCTCCAGCTGGTCTCAAATTCATAATCTCAAGCAATCCTCCTGCCTCAGCTGGGACTACAGGTATGTGCCATTGTGCCCACATAGTTATTAGTACTTTTGGAATAAATGTGTAAGTTGGGTTGAAGCTTATCTTAAGGGATATCAAATTGCCCTTTTAAAAAAAAACGAGGTAAGCCAGACGCGGTGGCGCACACCTGTAATCCCAGTGGCTCAGGAGGCTGAGGTAGGAGGATTGTAAATTCAAAGCTAGCCTCAGCAATTTAGCAAGGCAATAAGCAACTGGCTAGTGGTTGAGCACCCTTGGGTTCAATGTTCAATACAAAAAAAAAAAAAAACCTGAGGTAAGTATATAAGTGCTCAAAGGTGTTCTGGAAAATAAGGATAAAGTTCTAAGCTAAACTAATTCAGCACTTCAGAGACAAATGGGGAAGAAAACAAATGAAAGTAAATGTCATTAAATGCACTTGAAAAGCAATGAAAAAACAGAATCAGCAAATCTAACTATTATACTTTTGGTAGGAAAAGTAAACTTACTAAAGCTCTATATTTGAATCTATAAAAATTTCCCACTGAAAAGATTCAAATGTGCTCCCACGGTTAGACTACAGAGTAAAAACCATTGCTAAAAGCAGGGTGAATTACCTGGAGATGTTCCTCAGGCACAATAACCGGTCCACACTTTGTATGTGGTGCACATTCACCAGTACAGTATCTATGAGGATCATTTTCTTTCCGCAGGTATTGGTTTGTTGCACATTGTCTTTGGTACATTTGTATATGAAAGTTTAAATACAAAAAAAAAAATAAATAAAAGTAAGAAAGAATAGTTCACAACAGTTAAAAACAATGCAATAAACTAGTAAGTGCTATGTTACTTCACTAGTAACCTTATTAGGTTACTGTTTAAGTTACAAAAATAGGCTAAGAAGGAATTCTAGTTCTGTGGGGAATCCCCCTGATCTGGGTTTTCAAGTACCTAAATACTTTTATGAAGTCAATACTGTGGCCATGTGAAGGAGAGATGAAGGGGGTTTGGGGAACAGAGGACCATACCACCCTTGGAGAAGATTCTGTAGACTACCTCATTATGGAAAATTAGGGAAAGAATAATTATCCAGCAGGTGCTTTTTCATTCTTTTTATATATGTTGCAGTTTGGTCTATAAGAACAATATAATAAAATATTCTAGTATAAATCTTATACATTGCCATGCTGGTAGAATGAGGAGTGCAGAGTACTAAATGAATGAAGAAAACAACCAGTGTTTAATGTTACCTACCTGCTAAGTAAGATAGTGCCAGCAGGTCTACGAACCTGAAAAGTCTTCTCTAAATAAGAAATAGCTTGCGGGAAAAGTTTGTTCTAAATAATAGGTAGAAGGGAAAAAAAAAAAAAAACAATCAGAATTATAGTCAAGGGATAAATTATAGTTAAATAAGTAAGCACAGTATATTAATGACTGAAAGGACAAGAAAGAAAAACCTTACAATTCTGGAATACAGATACTAGTCCAAGGTTGTGTGGCAGTGCGTAAGCAAAGAGTGAACCTAGGTGGAAAGAAATTTCCTTGTTCTCTAGTTGAATTTGGGAAAAGAGAAATAGGCAGAAACTTCTTTCCCTACTTCTATTTAAATAAAAAATTAGAAAATATAAATCTTAATTATTAATCCAGATAACTTCAAGTTTAAGACTGATTTAGACTCTCTCAGGGGCAGATTATGTTAAAAAAAAATCTTAAGTTTAAACTCACCAATTTCTCTATCCTATAGTGAATTAGTTTAATGTGTGTATGTGTGTATGACTTTCACATTAGTTAAAAATCTGATGAAGTTTGCATCTTTATAAACAACTTTGGCATATCACACTATCAGGTCAATTAATCTTCAGAAGAATGAACATTCCCAGGGGCTGAGAATGTGGCTCAAACAGTAGCATGCTCGCCTGGCATGTGCAGGGCGCTGGGTTTTGATCCTCAGCACCACATAAAAATAAAATAAAGATGTTGTATCCACCCAAAACTAAATGTTAAAAAAAAAAATGAACATTCCCACAAAGAGAAAGGTATATTCAACGTTTTTGAAAAGTTGTCGTTTTTCACCCTATCCCAGCATGCCTCGTTCCCAAAAACTTGAGCAAGAAGTACAAAAGGAGAAGACTGATTTAATATCAATTATAAAATAAGGCAACTAATTTCATGCCAAATACCGACAAAATCTCATTGAGGGTGTAACAAAAACTACTTGGTAAAATGATAAATATATTCACTACCAACATCTTTTATTTAATTATTCTTAAAAGTCCTGGGTTTTTAAAAAATATTTATTTTTTAGTTTTAGGTGGACACATATCTTTATTTTAATTTTTATGTGGTATTGAGGATTGAAACCAGTTCCTTACGCATGCTAGGCAAGCGCTCTACCTGAGCCACAACCTCAGACCTTTATTTTTCTTGATTAAAGTAGAATTTATATATTTTATGGGAGAGTAGGGCAGGAGGACTGCAAATTGGAAGTCAGCAGCAATTTGGCAGTACCTTGTCTCGAAAAAATAAATAAAAAGGGGTGGGGTATAGTTCAGTTGTAGCTTGCCCCTGAGTTCAATTCCCAGGACTGGGGGGGGGGGAATATATATATATATATATATACACACATACACACACACACACATATAATTTTAAATGTCCTAATTCATAAGTATTTATTACATACCTTTACAAGGTATCTTTTCTCAGGGAGCAACCTGAAAATAATGACATAAAACATAAGAACTCCCACTCTTGAGGCAAAGCACTCTCATTTGTTCAGATTCCATCTGTCAAGAGCCCCAAGGAACGCTGTGTGGAAACAGTATCTGTCTCCAAAAATCTCCCATTTACCACAGTGAGTATTTGAGGATCATTCTGTGCCAAACCACAGGGCTAAGTATGATCACATATTTTCTCATTCATCTGAGAATGTTAAGGATAGGGAAAGACAAACTACTTCTAATAGTTCTTCATAAACTACTATAGACTCATAATTCATCTGTTTTCTGATACCTCTTAGACTACATAAAATCTGTTTGTTTAATAATTTGGCAAACTTTCTTATAGTTTATGTTAGTATTTTCTCCAATTACTTATTGGCAAAAGCCTTCCAGATCTATTATTGATAACATCCAGGAAGATTCATATTTGTTCTGATTAAGGTATTTAATCATTTCCTATGGTCTTTGGCTTTTCAGCTAAAAACATCTTCTGCTTAATTCCATCTTTTATAAATACACATATATATATATTTAGTTGTAGATGGATTAAACACCTTTATTTTATTTATTTATTTTTATGTGGTGCTGAACCCAGTGCTTCACACATCCTAGGCAAATGCTCTACTACTGAACCACAACCCCAGCCCCTGCATAATTCCATCTTAAAACTACACTAGTGTTTTTTAAAGTTTGAGCTATGGACTTTATTACTGCAGGCAACAGAAGAAAATATCTTTAATGTTTAGATTAACAATAAAAAGATGACAAAATGCTAGTGTACTTACTCTTCAATACTTTTATCATAGATAGTCTTAATTCTTAAGTGTTCATCAACATCTCTCTTTACAACATGATTTGTCTTAAGATGAACCTTATTTATAACCTAGAAAAAGAAACAGTTTTGAAAAACAATTTTTAGAAGATGTACATATTTTTCTTTATTGAGGTAGAATTTATATATAATAAAATATACCCATTTTATTAGCTAACTGAGATCCAAACTTAAAAATCAATAACCAAACTTCAAATTTGTACTTAGTAAAAAAGTCCCTTAGCTCATACTCCATGATTTTGGCATTCATAACCTCAAATATCTCCCAAGCAACTTCTATCATCTGGAAGAATACTATGAACTTCCATCACATGAATAAATTGTTATGGTAATGCCAGCTGCCAAAAAGGTCTGGGTTTCTCTGCTGCTTATCTAGTTTCCTACTATATTTCTTACTGGAATTTTGTGTGTTCAGAAAATGATAGGAAGACACTAAAAGTATCTTAAATTACTCTAAAAAGAGGATAAAAACTTCCAAGTGTTTCACTTGGAATTTTTTCTCATTTCATAATTTCTTAAAGGGAGGAATAAAAGAAAGGTCTCAGCAGTATCAAAACTTGATGCAACTCTTAGCCAGACATAGTGGTAAATGCCTGTGATCCCAGTGACTCAGGAGGCTGTGATCAAATTTCTTGTATGTAAATAGTATAAGATAATACACATAAATGTGACTGACATAAAATAAATGCTCAAAAAATGTTCACTATTATATTTTCATTAAGACTATTTCTTCCACCTTTCTCTTCACTACTTATGTCTGGAGAAACTAAACTAATTGGTTTCTGAACACAAATTGTGATTCCTTGCCTCCTCATTTGCACTGCTGTTTCTCATGCTTGCTTATGCTTTCCCTCCTTGGAATGGTCTTTCCTCCTCTTCCATAAATTAGAACCCTCCTCCTCCAGCAAGAAGATTGTAGCATGAAATCCCTGAAACATTCCTCAAATCCTCTCTGATAGAAATGATCTCACCTTCGGGCTGGGGTTGTGGCTAAGTGGTAGAGCTCAACCTAGAATGATCAAGGCCCTGGGTTCGATCCTCAGCACCACATAAAAATAAGTAAGTACAATAAAGGTATTGTGTCCAACTACAACTAAAAAATAAATTAAAAAAAAAAGAAATGATCTCACCTTTCTTTAACTTCAACAGTATCACTTTAATAGAACATCATTAGATTTTATAATTAACTGTATACTTTTCTAAACTACTGTACAATCAATCCATAGTGCCCAAAACACAAACATATTCAGTCAACCTTCAAAAACTAAAAACACAAAGAAAATGGAACATAATATTCTTTCTTCAGAATGAGTTAAACTATAAACCAATAACACTAATGAAATTAATGTGAAAAATTGGTAAAGTAGTATAAAATCATTAAAATATTTCTTTTAGCTGAATGTGGTGGTGCATGCCTATAATCCCAGCTACTAAAGAGGCTAAGGTAGGAGGATTGCAAGTTCCAGGCCAGCCTGGGCAACTTGGCAAGACCTATCCTGAAATAAAATTCTTTAAAAAGGGCTAGGTATGTAGCTCAGTGCCGCAGTCTGGCTGGGCACAATTCACGAGCCACTTATCAAGCAGAAACGAACTTTATTTTTAGAAAACACACACACACACAGGGCCAGCCGCACCACACCAGCTCTTGAGGAATTCCCTCAGAGCCCAACTGCTACCACCGGCTTCCCACAAGCCTCTCAACACCCCCCCCTCCACTCCTCCTGCTCTTGATGCCAATTGGCTGGGTCGCCAAAAAAAGTCCCCCCATGAGCAGCTCCGTGGTCTGAAAGGGTGGGGAAACAGCCCAATGAGCATCACAGCAGAAGAGCCAATCAGCTGGCAGCTGGAAGTTTGCTGGGGCCCCTTCGGCTGTGGCTCTCAACAGCTCAGGAGTATAGTACTCCTAGCATGTGTGAGGCCATAGCTTCCATTCCTAGTACCACAACACAAACAACAATAAAAAAAATTCTTTTGCATCCATAATATATTAAAAATGAAAGATGACTTAAGACTCAAAAAATTAAACAAAGAGCCAAAACTAACAAATTTATTTATTTATTTTTGGGTGCTGTGAATGGAACCCAGGGTTTTATACATGCTAGAAAGGTCCTCTACTACTGGGCTACAGCTACAGCCTACATTAATTAATTGAAACATATATTTATGGGCTGCGGCTGTAGTTCAGTGTTAGAGTGCTTGCCTAGCACATGTGAGGCACTGGGTTTGATCCTTGGCATCACATAAAAATAAGCAAAATAAAGGTATTAGGTCCATCTACAACTAAAAATATTTAAAAAAAAAACATATTAAATGCTTTCATATGCAAAGCATTGTTATAGGCACTTGGATTCAAATATAAACTGTACAATCCTTGACCTAAAGGTAATGAAGGGCAAATAAATCCAATAATTATTATAATAAAATAAATAAAGATCACAGAAGGAGGGTACTTAAGTTAAAGAAACATAATAAGGAGATGCTCCAGGGAGGTGATATTTGAGAAAAGATTTGAAAGAACAAAACAGGAATTAATATCTCTAAATTTAAATACAATAGACAACATGAAAAGTACAAAATCAGAGATATGAAGCACTGCAGTAATCTGTAGAAGTAGACATTAAGAACCTCTGGCTTCCAGAAATGGAATGGTAGCTTAACATCATCTCCCTGCAGAGAACACATTATAAAATAGGGACAAAATATTTTTTAAAAATACTATTTGAAAGTACTGAAACAAACAAAAATAACCAAAACCCAAACAAACAACTAAAAATCAGACATAACTTAGAAGAATCCACCCTTGGAATACAGAAATAATATCTCTGAGATTTGCCAGAAAGCACTTTGCATTCTGTGTCTCTTGGAGTGGCAAAAAAAGGCATAGCTTTACTGGCTTGTGTTAGACTTGGAGCAAAGTGTTCAGAGACTACAGCACTGGAAAGTTAGAAAAAGTTTTGAAAGCAACGAGAGAAAAACAACACATTCTATACAGGAGGGGAAGAGAAATACAAATGGTATTGACTTATTGTCAAGAAAAATGGAGACGAGAAGACAATGAAACAATTGTTAAAGGGCTAAAGGACAGATTGAACATATAAATCTATAGCCAATGAAACAGCAAAAACGAGAAGAAAGTTAGTCATTTCGGGATATACCTATAATCCTAGCTACTCAGGAGATTAAAGGGAAAAGGAATGCAAATTTGAGGCCTACCATCACAACATAGCAAGACCCCAAATTAAAAAAAAAAAAAAAAAAACTGAAGGGGAATTCAGACAATTCAGAAAAATGCAAATAGAAAATTCATCACCAGCAGACATATACTACAGAAAACATTAAAGGAAGTTCTTCACAGTATTTGTTAATGGAAATGATAGTAGATGTTAACATGGTTCTGGAGGAAGGAATAAGGCCACTGGAAATGGTAAATATACAAGAGACACAAAAGACTACTAAGCAGAAGAGTTAATAGCAGAAATGAGACTGTTCTTTATAAAGGCCTGCTTGCAAAATTGACCTTCCACTAGCATCTCGGAAGTTGAATGGCAAGCAGTTCTCTATGCTGATCTAAAACTTCCTTAAATGATAAAGGTGGTTCTCTCTAATTAAAGTGCTTGTACACAAAAGTGGTGAACAATTCCTCATTTCCAGGAGTCTGAAATTTCGGTGGCTAAAATAATCTCTACATAATAATCTCTACATAATCATCCCTACATAACCAATCTCCAATAAAATCCCTGGACCCCAAGGCTCAGATGACTTTACTGGTAGTGAGCACTTTGTGCATAATGATAGAATTCACTGCTGAAAGAATTAAGCATAGCCTATGTGAACCTACTTGGAGAGGACTTTAAAACTCTTTGCTAGTTTACTCCAGTCTTTGAATCATAATCCTTTATGCCTGGCTGATTTTGCTTTACGTTCTTTCACTGAAATAAATCTTAAATGTGAACATGATTTTATGCTTAGTCCAGTGAGCACATCACCAAATCTGCAGTGGTCTTAGGAACCTCAATGCAATTATACACATATTTCTTATATTTTCAATTCTTTACAGGTATAAAAATATTTAAAGGAAAAAATATAAAGTTGTAATCATGAGGCTTACATGTAGTTACAACAACATAAAAAATCTGTAATAACATAAAAATAAATAAATAAAGAGATTGTGTCCAGTTACAACTAAAAAATGAATATTAAAAATTTTTTAAATGATGTTTATAATATATATAGTTACAATAATATCAGAAAGATTAGGGATTAAGCTAGGCATGGTGGCACAGGCCTGTAATCCAAGAGACTCAGGAGACTGAGGTAGAAGAATCACAAATTCAAAGCCAGTAGTGAGGCTCTAAGCAACTTAATGAAACCCTATCTCAAAACAAAAATTAAAAAGGACTGGGGGGCTGGGGATGTGGCTCAAGCGGTAGCGCGCTTGCCTGACATGCGTGCGGCCCGGGTTCGATCCTCAGCACCACATACCAACAAAGATGTTGTGTCCGCCGAGAACTAGAAAATAAATATTAAAAATTCTCTCTCTCTCTCTCTCCTCTCTCTCTAAAAAAAAAAAAAAAAAAAAAAAAAAAAGGACTGGGGATATGCTTAGTAGTTAAATGCCACAAGGTTCAATTGCTGGTACTGAAGAGGAAGAGGAAGAAGAAGAAGAAAAAGAAGAAGAGACAAGAATATGTCAAGTTTGAGGCCAGCCTTGGAAACTCAGCGAGACACTATGTCAAAATAAAAAATGAAAAAGGACTAGGGAAGTACTCAGGGATAGAATGCCCTGGGTTTAATCCCTAGTATCATACACACACAAAAAAAGACAAAAATATTACTTAAAATGCATAAGCACACACATACACAAATAAATGCAAAAATAAATGCAAAAGGATGGAAAGATATATCAGTCAACTTTAATCATAAACAAGCTGAAATGGGTATAGTTAATATCAGATAAAATGATAAAGGGCCACATCAAAAGACATAAAAAATTATAAATGTGAATGCAAGTAATTAAAGGAGATTCAAAAATTATGAAGCAAAACTGACAG